CTGTTCTGCGCCATCCTCACAGTCATTGCTATGTTTGAGCCCATTGTTGCAGCCACTGTGTCAGTCCATCTTGTTAAGGGCTTCCTCTTTATTACTTTACTAAGCTTGATGTCCTTCTCCAGGGATTGGTCCCTCCTGATAACATGTCTTAAAGTAAGTGAGGCAGAGTTTTGCCATCTTTGCTTCTAAGGAGCACTCTGGCTGTACTTTTTCCAAGACAGATTTGTTCATTCTTCTGGCAGTCCATGGTATATTTAATATTCTTCACCAACACCGTAATTCAAATGCGTCAATTCTTCTTCGATCTTTTTTATTCATTGTCCAGCATTCGCATGCATATGAGGTGATTGGAAATACCATGGCTTGGGTCAGGTGCACCTTAGTCCTCAAAGTGACATCTTTGCTTTTTAACACTTTTAGGAGATCTTTTGTAGCATATTTGCCCAGTGCAATGCATCTTCTGATTTCTTGACTGCTGCTTCCATGGTCGTTGATTGTGGATCCAAGTAAAATGAAATCTTTGACAACTTCAGTCTTTTCTCCATTTATCATGATGTTGCTTATTGGTCCAGTTGTGAGGATTTTTTTTTTCCTTATGTTGAGTGTAATCCATACTGAAGGCTATAGTCTTTGATCTTCATCAGTAAGTGCTTCAAGTCGTCTTCACTTTCAGCAAGCAGGATTGTGTCATCTGTAAAAGCAGGTTGTTAATGAGTTCTCCAATCCTGACGCTGCGGTCTTCTTTATGTAGTCCAGCTTCTCGGATTGTTTGCTCAGCATACAGATTGAATAAGCTTGATGAAAAGGTACAACCCTGCTTTAAAAATCAGAAAAAGTAAATGTCAGCGTGTATGGAATTTTGTAACAAAAGGGCGTGTGTGAGGTCTCATTTTTATTAAATGTGCAGAGTCTACACGCAGAAGCTTTCTATCAGTGCACATACGTAAGATCTTAGCAAGGTTTATCCCGGGGTGGCAGGGTTGTAGGCAGTGTTTCAGTTTGAAGTTGTTTTCTTCTTTGTTCCCTTTTTCTTTTCTGTGTTTCCAAAATTTTCTATAATAAGCGTGAATTATTTGGACAAACTTTAAGGAGTCAGAAAGCAATATAACTTTTCAGAAGCTTTTGGGCAAAAAAATCATCTGCCCCATGACATAGAATTATCATTTCTGTTCATTTTTCATGTACACCTGTATTTCTAACAGAGGGTGTATACCATCTTTGTATACTTTATTTTTTTACTTAAAAATTTTTTCCATGTTGCTACATCGTCTTCATAATTTCATTAGTGCTCTGTTAGGTGGTTTCTCACTATGTATTAGAAAGTTTGAAATGTGAGAGAAGTGCCAGTGAGGTTTTTTCCTCCTTTCTGGGAACTGTTCTTCAACCTTGTGTTATCGCCGTCGGGTGAGAGGTTGGCATTGACCTAATGAGGCCTCGGCAGTCTGGCTTCCTTAGGGCCATGCTGCCAGATGAATCAGCGGATTTATTACACCTTGATTTTGTCACACCTTTTTAAAAATAGCAAAAGAATAATTAACCACAAATAGCTTGTCAGCGAGGTGGAATAGTCAAAGCTGTTCTGTTTCTGAGTGAATTTGCCCTGGACAGTATAGAATTATTTCCACAAACGTTTTTCTGTTTACAGACTCTAATTACTGTCCTTTCTCTTACAAAACACAGAAACATTACCAGCTTGTGTAAGGGGTAGTTCACTTATTTTATTTCTTTCTCTTTGCGTGTGAACAAGACATTAAAGTTTAACCAAATTTAATTTCACCTTAGTTCCTAAAGCTGACTTTCTTTATCCATTTATCTGTTTATTTCCCAAAGTCCAACCTTTGGGTCCTTGAACAGTTTCTAGTTTTGTTTTCCTCTTTCCTCGGGCAGTGCCTATTCCTGACGGCCAGAGTGCTGAAGAGCCAAGAGCTGCAACTTTCCTCCCATCAGAACGGCCACCTTAATCCTGCCCGCGTGGGTGCTTTGCTGCTTCCTCACACAGCACTCCCTCAGTCTCAGACACACTGATCCCAATCTTCTCAGTCAAACTCCAGGACACATAGTGTCAACAGTTACCGCAGCCACAAGTCCATTATCTACTCAGAGTGCAATTACTTGGCTGCCACCTAGACTGTGAGGTTTTTGTGGGCCCCAGAGAACTCATATCCTGAAGGGAGAGACTAATCAAAGCAGGTCCTCTTGGCAGGGACTTCGAAAGGGTGGATTACAATTGATAGGAGTTTTAATTTGTGAAGACTTAATCAGATCTTTTGCTTTTGAATGAGATAGTGTAGATGTACTTATTGTCCATTTTCTCTGGGCACATTTTGAAGATTCATTTGATTGTGTGATGATAGTATTATTATAAGGACACAGAAATTTATTACATAAATGTGCCTCTATCCTTCACCTGCCTCACTGCCCAGAGCTACTCTGAAGATTTATTCAGCCTGCATTATGGTAAGGGGAAGGATGACTAATGTCTCAAATAGTATAGTGTTTAGTAGTCTGGTCTCCTGTTGGCTAACAGCTCCTTTTTGGGAAGGCAGACACTGAGTTTCTCAAGAAGTACTTAAGCAAGAAGTGGTACCAGTTGGCCCTGGAGCTGCCAAAGCTTTGATTGCTAAAACCTAGTGGCACTAGTGTAAGGTGATGGTAAGGACCATGTTCTGACTGGCCAGCACAAGCAAAGCCAGGGACGGAAAGGCAGAGACCAGAGACGGCGCAGGCAGATTGTCTCTGCTGTCCTTCCCCGTGTCTCCTATTGAGAAAAGGAGCACTGGATCGGGGGCCAGTAAGCAGGGGAGAAAGGTACATTCTCTTATCCAGCTTGGTTTGTGTATTTTCCCAGGGTATTTTCTTCTGAGGGTAAACATGCTGTATCACATCAGGATGAGATGTCTGACTTCTCTTAGAGGTGGAAAGCAGAATTGGGCGTGGACGACTCACCAAAGCAATTATGTTTTCAGGTTAAATAATGTCCTCTGTCACATCATCGTAGCTTACAAAATTAGACTACCACCATGTTTTCTTTTAATCATTTAAATAAACAGTCCTACCTTTAGACCAGCAGTTCTCAAAGTGTGGTCTGAGGACCCCTGCAGACCCCAGGACCCTCATAGGGCGTCCACAGGGTCTTCCCTTTTCTAGTAATATGTCTGTGCGAGGCTGGGTTTTCTTTAGCTACTTTATCCAAAGCAACATATTGCAATAGATTGAACATCGAAGCACATACAAATATTCAGTTGTCTTCTATGAAGCCAGACATTTAACTAAATTTTTTTGTTTGTTTTGGAACACAGTTATTTTTTTCCTAAAAATTTATTATTCATATTACTATTATTGTTACTAAATATTTCCAAGTTTCTGTTTCAGTTTTCAATATGGTAAATGTCAATAGATATAACCCACACAAACAACTTTTTGGGGCCCTGCCTGGTGGCACAGTGGTTAACGTGCTCAGCTGCTAACCAGAAGGTCAGTGGTTCGAACCCACCAGCCGCTCCATGGTAGCAAGATGTGGCAGTCTGCTTCTGTAAAGATTACAGCCTTGGAAACCCTATGGAGCAGTTCTGCTCTATCCTGTAGGGTCACTATGAGTCAGAATTTACTTGACAGCAGTGGGTTTTTTGTTTTCTATAATTGTTAAGAGTGTTACTTTTTGGGTCCTCAGTAATTTTAAGAGTGTAAAGGAGTTCTGAGGCAAACAGGTTTGGGAACCACTGCTCTAGAGGACTCCCCTGGGAGAAAAAGCTACATCTCCCTTTCTCTTGGTCCTGTGTAGGAAGAGATTGTATAACATAGACCTGGATTCACACAAACACTTTCAGAGAAAAATGGCTGTGGAACTTTCTGGCCTGTGGCTTAAAGAATAATAATACCTATATCCAGGAATTCTTGGAAGAATTAAATGCAATAAAAATCTATAAATTACCTAATATATAGCAGGTGCCAGATAATGGTAGGTACACATTTTTGTGCTCTGTACAGTCTCCCTGGCCCATAGACACACCATAATCCCTCACTTAATCTTGCTTTTGGTATTAGCAGTGGCTTTGGTAAAGCACTTCTGTTTCAGTTTGTTAGAAGTATTTTTCTGAAGGAGAATTTGTGTTGTTCTAGTGGAGCCTAAGCTATAGGTTAATCTTCCAAATGGAAGGAGGTAGGTTCCTAGGATGAGTACCTGCTGACACCACACTTTTTCTCTCAGCTGAGCTCTCAACCTGGGGTGTTTAGACTAATACAGTTGTGCCTCTGTGCAGCCGCGCCCACTGGAGAGGTCCACAAATCCTAGGGCCTTCCTGAGATAGGCAGGTCAAGCAGCTATTTCACTCTGTGAGTTTTGCTTGATGCTCATTATGGATTTCTTCCTAAGACAGCAAGGATTATGTGATCATGTCACTTCACACAATATCATCTGCACATAACTGGGTATCCGGGAATGATGAACTGTCCCCATCCAGATGCCCCTAGAAGCTTAGCTGGTTGTTTTAGGAATTTATGGTAGGGAGGAAGGGAAGAGAGCAGCCATGATGCTTGAGAGGGTAGGTAGGGCAAGAATGGAGCTGGTGTGCTTGCCCTTCTGACGCTAGAGATTGATCCCTTGGGTGTGGCTTGAACAAACAAGAAGCATTTTCCACCTACCTTCTAGTGTACAGGTCATCCACTCACCCTCAGTGAGGTAGCCCGGGCAGTGGAACAGCACAGGATCTGTTATCAGGCTTAGGTCCAAAGCCCAGATCTGAACCTCACCCCTACACGAGGGCATATACCACTTAGTTACTCTGGGACTCCGTTCTCTAATGGGTAAGAATACAGCCATGTCTGTTCTGTCTGCCTCACAGAATTGCTAATAAAACTTAGATTAAGTGAGATTACAGATGGGAATGCTGAAAAACATGTACAATACTAGTTTTGTAGAAGGCTTCTTTGTAGTACAAACAGCGTTTCTGCTCTTTGCCCCTTGCCCTCTGGACTCATGAGGCCTGTGTTCTTTTCTCCAGGTTACCTGTGCATGACAGATGAGTGGTTCTCTGAGTATGTCTACGAGGTGGTGGTGGACAAGAAGCATGTCCCTGAAGAGGTGCTAGCTGTCTTCGAGCAGGAACCCATTGTCCTGCCAGCCTGGGATCCCATGGGGGCTTTGGCTGAGTGATAATGCCTCTACTTCTTTCCTCCTCCCATGGGACCTGAAGTAGCTACAAAGGACAGATCCAGCGACTGAAGCCAAAGTTACACAGGTGACTGTGTGTTCTTACAGGACACAGTCAGACTCTTGGTTTTCCAGTCTCCTCCAGGAACCTCTGGTGAAGTGTGCTTTATGCTGAAACAAAACATTCTTAAAAAAAAAAAAAAAAATGGGGAAGATCAGATCATACCATCTACTCTCCTCATCTCCAACAGCTCAGGATCTCTTAGCATTTTAATCATATGTAATTGTTTGTCATAACTCTGTCAAAAACGTTTGGTTAAGTGTCTGTGTTTTAATAAGACAGGGTGAGCAACTGAGGTGTATGGGAGAAAACAGACCTGCTGCTCCTTGTTCCCGGAGTGGGAAAGGGGTATTATCCTTCAGTTTGAGCTCTGAAAAGGGAGTGCTGCCTGACAGCATCACTGTCCTTCCTATATGGCAGTCACTGAATTGAATTGTTTCCGAGGCAATCTTATGTGCCTCTAGTAGCTTGATGGTAACGGGTTTGTTTGTTTGTTTAAGCCCTAGAGTGGGAGGTTGATCAAGTCTGATGTGATTCCTTCCCATTGTCCTGACCTGTGGGGGAGCATAGCTCTGCTTGAGTCAGGTTTAAGTAGAGGATTAGAGAAAGTTGAGAGAACAACCAAAAACCTTATCATGATCTGAATTATAAACGTTAGGGGGAGCTCTAGCCAAATGGTTTAACTTCTGCCTCTGGAGTAGGGGGTTGGGTGGGCAGGAAAAGGTGATACCCATTCTTTCTGACAACTAGATGGTGCTGAGAAGCTTTTGAATAAAACAGTTTGCTAAATGAGAATAAGATGACTTATTTGATCCCCTGGGAAGTGTTTTCTTAGCTACAAAAGAAGACAACTAGGTGCTGACTCAGGTTCTTCACAGTGAAAAAACAGCAAGATGGCTCAGGTCTTCTCTCCTTTAGCTTCTCTGTAGGGTATGTGATCCTGTCCAGCCTGCACGGACCTCACTGGCTCTGCAGTGGACTTCCAAGCACCATATTTAAGAGGGCTTGTGCCCTTGCCACTAAATGTTCTTCCACCCATTGTTGTAACTTCAGATCCAGGGTGCGCCTACAGGATGGGAAGTGAGGCTCTGTTGAGTCCAGCCTTAGAATGGGCTGGAGAACATGTATTTTATAGAGACTGAACCTCCCTTTCACTGAAAGCCATTCTGGCTCTCCAAGAACCTACTCAGTCTTGTCCAGGGATATTGCCTTAATCACAGCACTTTCCAAGATAACATTAGATAAAGGCACAAACTTCAATCAAATTGTTTATAATATTCTAGTAATTCTGTTTCAAGCAGGATAAAGTCATCCATTTCTAGACACATGGTGAAACCTCAGAATGGATCTTAAAAGGATCCAGGAAGAAGACAGATTACCTCCAAATTAAAGACAATTAGATTGACAGCTAACTTCTCACCAGCAGCTTTAAGCCAGGAGACAGTGAGATATGTCTTCAGAGTGCTATGAGAAATTAACTGCAAGCCTAGAATTCTATACTCAAAGAAACTGTCTTATAGGAAAAAGAGTAAAATAAAGACATTTTCAATCAAACACTGTATTTGCCCCCAGCAGAAGGAAGTGATACAGTATGGAATGTTTCATGAGATACAAGAAAGAGCTAGAGCAAAGGAAATGATAAATATTTGGATCATCTAAATAAAAAGTGAATATAGAAGAGCCTTACAGGGTTTAAAATACATGAAAAGAGCAGATTAGTAGGGAAGTAATTGGAATTAACATATTCTAAGATCTTTGTGTCACTGAAGAGGAAGATAAGTATATTGATTAACTTTGGTAGCTGTGAATGGCCAGCTGTTCCAGAGTATGCCATTCACAGTTCTGCCATTCACACGAACTGTGATGCGAATGGCCTCCCTGGAGTTGTGCAACACAGAGGCCCTGGAAGAGGTTTTTTTAAAAAAAGCATTACTAGAGACAGTCACACATAATGATATGTTTGTTTAATTCTCCAGAAAAATACAAAGATTCTAAATTAGTAGGCACCTAGTAACATAGCCTTAAAATATATAAAGCAAAAATTGACAACTATATTGAAAAGTAAGTAATCCAGCGTAATGGGAGATTTTAATATAACTTCTCAATCACTGATAGATCAAGCAGCCAAAAATCAGTAGACCATATAAAATATTTAGGAGTCCCTGGGTGGCACAAATGGTTAAGTGCTGGACTGCTGGCCAGAAGGTTAGTGGTTTGCCTAATATAAAGCCATGATAGTCAACACAGCCTGGTACTGGTACAACGACAGACACACAGACCAATGGAACAGAATCAAGAACCCAGATGTAAGACCATCCACTTATGGACAGCCGATCTATGACAAAGGGCCAAAGTCCATTAAATGGGAAAAAGACAGTCTCTTTTAAGAAATGGTGCTGGCAAAACTGCATGTCCCTTTTTAAAATAAAAAAAATGAAACAGGACCCATACCTGACACCAAAACAGATCAAAGATGTAAATATAAAACCTAAGACTATAAAGATCATGGAAGAAAAAAGAGAGACAACACTAGGGGCCTGAATATTTGGCATAGATAGAATACCAAACATAACTAAAAATGCACACACAGCGGAAGATTAATTAGATAAATGGGACCTCCTAAAAATTAAACACTTACCAAAGACTTTTCCAAAAGAGTAAAAAGAGAACCTACAGACTGGGAAAAAAAAAAAACTATCTCATATTTGGGAAACCCTGGTGGCATACTGGTTAAGAGCTATGGCTGCTAACCAAAAGCTTGGCAGTTCAAATCCACCAGGTGCTCTTTGGAAACCACATGAGGCAGTTCTACTCTGTCCTGTTGGGTCACTATGAGTCAGAATCAACTCGACGGCAACAGGTTTTTTTTTTTAAATCTCATATCCGCAAGTAATCACTGAAGTTTATGGAAAACTTCACCTCAGCAACAAAAAAACTGGTTAAAAAATGGGCAAAGGCATTAGAGAAATGGAAAGCAAAACTACAATGAGATACCATCTCACCCTGACAATACTGGCAGTAATTTAAAAAAAAAATAAATGTTGGAGAGGTTGTGGGGAGATTGGAACTGTTATGCACTGCTGGTGGGAATGTAAAACGGTACAACCACTTTGGAAAACGATACGGCACTTCCTTAAAAAGCTAGAAATAGAAATACCATACAATCCAGTAATCCCAGTCCTAGGTATATACCCTAGAGAAATAAGAGCCGTCACACAAACAGACATATGTACACCCATGTTCACAACATGGACAAATTTGGAGGACATTATGTGAAATAAGTCAATCACAAAAGGACAAATATTGTATGAGACAACTATTAAAAAGAAACAAGAAAATGTTTACACACAGAAAAAAATTCTTTGATGGTTACGAGGGAAAATTACTAAATAGAAGATATGTATTAATATTGGTAAAGGGAAAGGCAATACACTATATGGGGGAGGTCAGCAAAACAGGACTAAAGCGTGGGAGGACACTGAGAGGAGCATAAGAACAAAGGGCAACAACAGTAATTACTATAGGATTGACAGCCCTGCAACAATAGTACTAATTTATGAATGGATGCATAGGCAAATAGGTATACCAAGAGGAGTGGGAGGGGCAAGAGAACACCACCCACCTACAGATAAAGGTTTGGTGGTGAATATTTCTGCATACACAACTGTAGGTGCTGCTTATATATTAATATAGACAGAGCACACAAGGGCCACAGGGCAACTTCTAAGACACCTTGCGGGACGTAGTTCCTAGGTGTGAAGGCAAGGGACCATAGACTTGGGGGTCATCTATGTCAGTTGGCACAACATAGTTCATAAATGTCTGCATCCTACTTTGATGAGTAGGGTCTGGGGTCTTAAAAGCTTGCGAGCAGCCATCTAAGATACATCTATTGGTCTCTTCCATCTGGAGCTAAGGAGAGTGAAGAAAACCAAAAACTCAAGTGAGCAAATAGTCCAGAGGACAAATGGACCCCACAAACCACAGCCTACCCTGAGACCAGAAGAACTAGATGGTGCCCAGCTACCAATAACAACCGCTGTAATTGGGATCACAACAGAGGGACGAAACAGAGGGGAGAAAAATTGTAGAACAAAAAACCAAGTTCACAAAAAAGACCAGACTTAATGGAGACTGGAGGAACCCCTGATACTATGGCCCTAAGACACCCTTCTAAACTGGAACTGAAGCCATTCCCAGAGACCACTTTTCAGCCAAACCATAGGCCCCATAAAAAACCTATTGCCATCGAGTTGATTCCGACTCACAGTGACCATATAGACAGGCCCATAACTAATAACACCCAGGAGGAACATGCTCCTTAGAGCAATCAATTAGACGAGATCAAAAGGGAAACATTTGCCCAAAAGCTAAGATGAGAAGGCAGGAAGCGATAGAAAATCAGGATGAAAGATAATGGAGAAGCTAGGATGGAAATGGGGAGAGTGCTGACACGTTGTGGCAAGTGAAACCAAAGTTACGGGACACTTCATGTAAAGTTATTGAATGAGAAAATAATTTCCTCTGTAAAATTTCACCTAATGCACAATAAAAAGTTTAAAAAGGAATTAAAAAATCAAATACATCAGGGGACTTGTCATTAAAAGAAAAAGGTTAGTGGTTTGAACCCACCCAGAGGCGCCTCGGAAGGCCTGGCTTTCGAAAGGTCACATTCTTGAGAACCCTGTGGAGCAGTTCTACTCTTCACACATGAGGTCATCATGAGTCAAAATTGACTCGGAGGCTACTAACAACAAGAAATATAAAATATTTAAACAGTAAGTTTGGTGTGATGAACGTAGGTAAACACTGTGGGGGCAAGTGGTGGTTCAGTGGTAGAATTCTCACCTTCCATGTGGAAAAACTGGATTCTATTACTGACCAATGCACCTCATGTGCAGCCACCACCCATCTGTCAGCGGTGGCTTGCGTTTTGCTATGATGCTGAACGAATATCAGTGGAACTTCCAGACTGAGATGAACTAAGAAGAAAGTCCTGGTAATCTACTTCCAAAAAATCAGCCAAAGAAAACCCTATGGATCACAACAATCCAAGCCACACCAATCATGGGGCTGGTACAAGACCGGGCAATGTTTCATTCCGTTCTGCATGGGGTTGCCGTGAGTCAGGAGTTAACTCAATGGCCTCTAACAATAAAACATGGTACCTGATAACTGCCATTCTTTGCCAGCACACATGGAACTTTTACAAAAATTGACCACATAACTGGGCAATAAATTTCAAAGGATTGTTATCCTGCAGAGCACACTCAAACCACAGTGCAGTTAAGTTAGAAATCAAAATTTAAAAGATAACTAGAAAACCTCAGTGTTTAGAAATTAAGAAAATATCATACTTCTAAAACAACTCCTGGGTCGAAGAAGAAATCATACAGGAAATCTAATCTGAACAATAATAAAAAATACTATATATCAAAATGAGGGACACAGCCAGAACAGTACCTAAAGGAATCCTAGAGCACTAAAAATCTGTTAGAATATAAAGTCTTATTTTCAAAGTTTATTAGAATGTAATAAAAGCTGAAAATGTTTGAGCTAAACATCTGTTTTGAGAAAGGAGAACAGCAAAATAAACCTA